TCCTGGTGCCAAACAAAGCCTCTGTTATACTTTGGGTAAATTATCCCTCTCTGCTGACTCTGTTAATGAAACAGAACACCCCTAACAGCTCTAGAAGGAAAAACCAGAGGATATCACTTTTCTTGGGTACCTGCCATGAGACATGCACTATGCTAGACCCTTTTATTGTTGTTGTTTGGTCCTGTCCAGTAGATTTTGACTCATAGTGACCCTATATGACAGAGAAGAACTGCCCCGTAGGGTTTCCTGGGCTGTAATCTTTACGGGAGCAGAGGGACAAGTCTTTTCGCTTGTGGAGCTGATATGAGGGTTTGAACTGGCAACATTTCGGTTAACAACTGAGTGTTTAACTGGGAAGCCACCAGAGCTCCTTTGGTCCTTTTACATACTTTATATCTTCTCCATCAGTGCTATGCAATAGAACTTTCTGTGATGGTGGGAATGTTCTGTATCTGCATTGTCTAATACATACATACTAGCCATAAATCGCCATTGGCTAGCTTGACTGAGGGATTGAAGTTTTAATTTTACTTAATTTTAATCAGGGAGCTCTGTAACGTAGTGCCTAAGGCACTTGACTGCTAATCAGAAGGCTGGCGGTTCAACCCCACCAGTCGCTCCTCAGAAGGAAGATGGGGCAATCTACTTCCGTAGTGATACTGCCTTGGAAACCCAAGGGAGGGTTGCTATGAGTCGGGTCTGACCCGACGGCACATAACAACAACAGCAATTTTAATCAAAGTAGCCACATGTGGTCACTGGCTACCACACTGGACAGTGCAGCTCCCTGGAGGGTGCAAATGTTTATGTGTTTGACTATTATCCAAAAGGTTAGTGGTTCAAACCCACCTAGATGTGCCTAGGAAGACAGGACTGGTGATCGGTTTCTGAAAGGTTATTACCTTGAAGACCCTATGGAGTTTTTCTGCACACATGGGTCAGAATCGACAACAACAACAAAGCTCATAAAGCAGGAATATTTTTTCCCATTTACTATATATTAAAGTTAAGATTCAGAAAAGTCAAAGAACTTAAAAGTCACTTAAACAGCATACACCTAAACCAGATTCAAAACCTAGGTATAGAAAGATTAGTAAGAAGGTCAGATATACCTAGTATTATCCAGGTTCCTCTACTTATACACTGCATGACTGAATAAAAACACAATGTCCAGAACTCACTGTCATCATCTATAAAATGATAACAGTCACCTGATTGACAGACCACTTATTGAGATTAATGGGTATAGATCTATAAAAACCAAAAAACCAAACTTACAGTCATTGAGTTGATTTCAACTCATAGTGACCCCCATTGGGTTTCCAAGGTGGTAAATCTTTAAGGAAGCAGATCATCTCATGTTTCTTCCATGGAGCAGCTGGTGAGTTTGAACCACCAACCTTCTGGTTAGCAGCCAAATGCCCTAACCACTACACCACCAGAGCCCATAGTGGGCTTTCAACAACTTTTGTTCCCTCACCACTCTGATTCCTCCCTCACACATAGAAGAGATTCAGACATAAACTAAAAAAGAAATGACTTCAAGGTAGAGAGTACATTTGGGAAATATAAAAGCAAAAGGAAAATACTTACAAGCTTTTATGCAATATCCAATTGGAGTGGAGATGAAGAAGAGTATTAAAATCATCATAACATCTGCATTTACTTGTCCCTCTAGTCAACATTAGCCAAGCAGGGAACAGAGTTATCTATAATGTATTTTGAGGCCCAGAAAGATAAGCTATAACAGTGAAACAAAAGAGTAAGGTTAAGGGGTTGGAGAGCCAGGTAAAGTTCAAATCCTGGTTCCCATACCTGACACCTCCTACACAGTAGTTCCTAATCTGCCGGATGTCTCAATAAAGCATGTACCATTTATTATTTTGCTTTATATTCTGTAGCACCCTCTAGTGGTATACTTAAAAATAAGCATTACATTTTTTTTCCTCCAAAGCCGTGGTTCTCGAATTTCAGTGTGCATCAGAATCACCTGGACCACAGATTGCCAAACCCCATTCCAAGAAATTTTGATTTAGGCTTGAAGTAAGGTGCCCTGGTGGCACAGTGGTTAAGTGCTTGGCTGCTAACCAAAAGGGTTGAATCCACCAGCAACTCCACAGTAGAAAAGACCTGTAACGATTCCAGCCTAGTAAACACTCTGGAGGCAGTTCTGCCCTATATATAGGGTTGCTGTGAGTTGCAATGGACTCAATGGCACACAACAACAGGGTTGAAGTGGAGCCTGAGAATCTGAATTCCTAACTTCCCAGATGATGCTGAAGCTGTTGGGCCAGGAAACATACTTTGAGAACCAGTGCTCTGAACCACTACCACCTCCCACGCTACACACACACACACACACACACACACACGATCGATAACTACAAGAGGTAAGATTTTTGTTGTTAGATTTGATTTTGTAGTACCCACCTAAATGGGATTTGATCTAAAATATGGGGGGGGGG